TCACAAGGCTTTGAGATGCTCAAGAGTAGGAGTCCAGTATGCTTGTTCTCAGCCGAATGCCTCGTCCTAGGCACAGGCCCTGGTATACAGTTGGCATCCAATAAATACTTGGGGTGTGTTTGGTGCCAGACTCTTGGAGTAGTTCTTCATGCGGCTGAAGTCAGGAGGGGAACTGTGTGTGTGTGTGTGTGTGGTGGTGGTGGTGGGGGGGTTTGCAGGAAGCAGTGGGTGGTGAAGAGTGGCTCTCCCCAAGGGCCTCTCTGGCTGGGCACAGAGCATGAACTAGGCAGGTTCCCCCATGCTGCCCCCAGCCCCCCACAGGCTACTCTATCAATTCCTTTCCTGGGGCTGGCTGTGGTTGGATCATCTTGTCCCCAACAAAGCCAGCCCTGGCCCTAAGGATCTGCAGTAGGACGGGTGCCCTTTCAGGAGCTGACAGCTTTGAAAGAGGAAATCCCTGGAGATGGGACTGTGGGAGGGGAGGGGAAGGAGTGAGGGTAGGAGGGGTGCCCCTCCCCCACTCATCCTGGGATCTGTTCTGGGGGCAAAGGGGGAAGCCAAGGCTTGGCCCCCTCAAACAAGAAAAACTGGAATTAGCACTGAACTCAGAGAGGGTTTGCTGGGGCCTAGCAAGCTGTGGCCTGCCCCAGGCCTCTAGGCAGGCGGTGGGGCTCTGCCTCCTTGGTTCCCAGGCAGCAGGGCAGGCCACCGCCTCCTCAATGGGCTGATGGCCTTTCCTCTGCCAAGGGCGGCCATGGGTGAGGAGGCGGCAAGACACAAGACAGAAAGCGGGAGCGGGAAGGGGGTAGGTCACCTTATTAAGCACAGTCAGGTAAACCCAAAGCTTTCAGAGTTTAAGAAGAATGTGTAATTTCTTGAAACTGTCGCAGCCCACAATGGCATATACTATCAGCTGCTCAAGTGAACACTCTGGGGGAGGGTGGGAAACAGAAGGTAAGAAGTGTTTTTGCCTTTTGCCCTCAGAAAGAGTCAACTCTGAAAGCCTGCTAGCCTCCTGGGGTACTTCCTCTCAGGCCTTGCTCTTTCAGGCATGGAGGTGCACCCTCGCTGGTGGCTACCACTGCTGCTAAGAGGGTGTCGGGGTGCCTGTCCTCCTAGGGCAGTTGTCCAGGTGGGGGGCTTGATGCAGGGTGGACACAGTGGGCAGCATGGATGTCGGGCTGGTTCCTTGCTGGGTGGTGCGTGGGGAAGGGCCAGACACCCAACCTCAGGCCTGCCGTGGGCCCTTTGTTTCTGGGTGGGCTGAGCTGGCAGGGAAGGTGTGGGAGGCTGGTGGAGGGGTACTCAGTCTTAGGGCTGCCTTTCAGGGCCCTGCCAGAGTAGGCTGCAGCCACGTGGCCCAGAGCAAGGGGCAAGGGGTGAGGGCCCCACAGCTAGAGGCCTCTCCCTGCCCACCCAGGGTCCTGCTGTGGCCAAGGCAGGTGTGGGCGAGGCTGCTCCAGAGCTGGAACTGTGAGTGTTTGGAAGTGAGTGTGGCCGAAGGGCCCCTGGAGCCTGAAGCTGCTGCACAAGGCCTGCCCGAGTTCCAAAGAGGCTGCGGCAACTTCAGGCAGGGGGCTCCCTCTCCGAATCTCTCTTCTCCCAAAGGGCCATGAGAGGCCACACCAAGGTCCCATGAGCCCCCTGCCCCCTGCCCCCCAAAACAGTCTCCGACCAGGAGATGTTCTTCAGGCTTTGGCATGCTTAGCTTGGAGCCTTGTCCTCTTTCTGCCATTTATTTGTCTTGGTTGGGAGAAGTCACCCCTTTAATGTACAGAGGGGCTCAGCATGGGTACAGAGTGAATGGAAGTCAGGATCTCAGCCAGAACATATGCTGTGATTATTTACAAATGTGACCTGGCTCACAGAAAACCGTGGAAGTAGCTTTTCTGGTTTTAAAAAAACACCAACATTTACTTTGATATGTTTATATTATAGATATAATACATAAAACATCTAGCATGAAACTCTACGTTCTCCTCCAAAGAAGAGAACCAAGCTGTCCTCTGCTCCCAAGCCCAGCGATCTGTGTGTGCTGGCTGGAGGCCGCCTCCCTTCCAGACCCGGAGCCAGGCCTCTGTGGGGGACAAGCCTGTGGGCAGCTTGGGGCCAGAGGGGACCAAGGTCCACAGCCACCCCCCAGGGAAAGCTGAGGGGAAAGGGGAAGCCCATCTTGCCTTTTTGGTTCCTCCGGGAGCAAAAGCAATCCCAAAACCAAAAGGAAAGAGAGCCGCAGACCCTCCCTGCAGCTGCTGACGAAGAGTCTCATTTTGGCAAGTATCTGAGCAAAACCAAAACAAAACAAAAACCAAAGAAAATGGTGGTTTAGCATAGACATGCACATTCACATTGCACAAGGCACCACTGGGACACAGAGAGGCCAGATACAAATGTTGATATCGGCTGATAAAGCAAAATATTTGGAAATCTTCTCATAACTTGGGTCCCTCCGGGACGGGCTGACTGTGCTTCATGTTTGTATGGCAACGCTGGCAACATACAGTACAGACATGGTTGATGGCCCCAGAGTCCCTTCACCCCTCTCCCAACCCCCAGACCAGACCTGTAGGCTCCCCTCTTCCACCAGGCCACCACTCCCATGTACATATGTCCTTATAGCTAATCCACACCTAGCTTTCTGGTCTGACTCGGGGTGAGGTCTCCCACTGGTCGCATGGTGACTCCCATTCCGGGAGTTCTGCCCTGGAAGCCCAGTCCGTTGTAGGCTGGGAGGTTAGAGACAAGGAACTAGGGACCCTCCACCTTCATGTAGAACTAGGGGAACAGCCTTAGGTTCACAAAGCCCACATCCCTGTTTCCTCCTCTCCAAGGACAAGGAGCTGAGGAGCAGCTGGGACTGGCTTATAGGATCTCTGCTCCCTGAACCTTCCTCCAGCCGGAAGCCTGCACCCGTCCTCTCTCACGGGGGCCTGCTGCAGCCTTGCAGCCTTGGGACCAAGGCAGGGAACCCTCTAAATAAAATGACAAGGCACATATTTGCTCCCCCTACTTGGTAGGAATCAGAGCAGTGAGTTTGCATTTCCAAGGCACAAGGTTATTCCTTAATACTAGAGTTGCCAGGCTCCCGGCTTGGCCCCGGGCACTTCTCTCTTACAGGAAGAAACTACTGCCTGACCCTTTATCTTGGACGCACCGTGTCCCGCGCAGAAGAAGGCAAGGGGCACGCGCGACAGTCCAGGCTTTCAGGCGGCATCGGAATCTCCTAGTCCTGGCATGCGCGGCGTGGGCAGTCTTGAGATCCCGAGACCACGAAAATACTCCCTGGGTCCCAGCCGGGGGTCGGCCCAGGGCGGTCCCGCCGCGGCGCCTCACGCGCAGTTGCCCATGGCCTTGACCAGGGAGCTCTCGGGCAGCTGGCGGAAGATGCCCCGCAGAGTGTCGAGTTCGCGGCTCAGTTGTTCCACCCGCTTGCGCAGGCGGTCATTGTCACTGGTCAGCTCCAGCACCTTCTGCTGCGTCTCCACGTTGCGCTGCTTGGCCTTGTCCCGGCTCTTGCGCACCGCGATGTTGTTGCGCTCCCGCCGCACCCGGTACTCGTTGCTGTTCTTGTCCACCGACTTCTTGGCTTTGCCCGCGCCGCCGCCAGCGCGGAGATCGGGGTGCGCAGCGGCCAGCCCCTTGAGCGCGCCGCCGGGGCCCGGCAGGCCAGCGGCGCCGAGCGCGGGCGCTGGGTGCGGGCTGGGCACGGGCGTGGGCGGCGGCGTGGGGTGGCCGGGCTGCAGGTGCATGGTGGTCTGGCCGCAGTGCGCGATCTGGAACTGCAGGTGCGGGGCAGCCAAGGGCGCGGGGGGCGGGTGCGGGTGCGGTGGCGGCGGCGGCGGCGGCTGGTAGGGGAAGAGGCCGGCCAGTGCCAGCTGCTTCGCCTCGTCCTCCTCGCGCGGCTCCTGCTTGATCACTAGCGGCCGCAGCGCTGGCGCCCCGACGCGCTCGTACAGGGGCTCCAGCCTGCCGTCCAGGTAGCCGGCGGCCGAGCAGCCGTAGCTGGGAGGGGGGCCGTGCGTCCCCCCGGGCATAACAGCGCCTCCGGGTCCCACCAGGGCGCCCGGGTAGTCAAAGTCGCTGCCGCCGCCTCCCACCGGGGCCGCGGCCGCCTTGGCCTTCTCCTGCTGCCGGCTGTGCTGGAACAGGTCGGCCAGGAACTCGTCGTTGAAGGCGGCCGGGTCGATGTAGGCGCTGATGTCGATGGACGTCTCGTGTTCGCAGATGCCGCCCAGCGGCTCCTGGGCGGCAGGTGGGGCGGGGGGCTGCGCGGGGCCCGCGCCCCGGAGAAAGCCGAAGGCGGCGCTGCTGGGCGCGTGCTGGGGGCTCTGAAGGTGGCTGCTCATCGGGGTTCGCGGCTCCGCCTCGTAGAAGTCGGCCGACTCCATGGGGGAGCTAGAGTCCTCCCGGCATGGCGAGCCTCGGCGGCCTCCAGGCGGCGCGGGGCACCAATGCTGCCGCAGCCCACCGGGAGCCCCTACTTGCTTGCGCCCGCGCAGCTCCGGGTCGCGAATGGCCAGGCCCGCGCGGGCCCCGCATTTATATAGGAGCAGCTGTCGCCCTCTAGTGTCCGACTATCGGCGACGGCGAGTGGCGCCTCCTGGGTCTTAGGGCCTGCCTTCAGGAGGAGCCGGCGAGTGGGGCTGGAGCGCGGCGCTGGCGGGAGAGGCCGCGCCGCAACGCCCACTGGCCCCTGAGCCGCGAGCAGAACCGTGACCCGCACGCGGGGCCCCATCCTCGGCCGAGTTGTCGCCCCCACACGCACGTGGTCGGTGGCGGGCCCCCCTTCTTTAGCCTCCCCAAGACACCCACTTCCAGCCAAAGGCCGGCCTTCCAGCAGCACCCCGCCGCCGCGCAGGGGGTTGGTGGCGTGCAGCCTTGGTCTCCGAGCTACTGTGGCGCCGGCTCGCTTTAAAAGCTAGAACCAGTCTTGTCCGGGATCGGGGTTTCTGGAAGGCGGCGACGTGGAGAAGGAGCCGGGGTGGGGGTGGGAGGCAGAGAACAGTTTTGAAGATGCGGCCCAGGGCACACCACCGTGTGGAGAGGCCCGGAGCGCGGTGATTGAGCGTCTTTATCGCTGATCACCGGGCGACCCCGCCGATTCCGTGTGGTACCTCTCCCTGCTCTGCCTCTGGCAGTACTTCGGGGTTTCACGGACTCCGCGGCGCCGGGCACTAGGACCCCGCGGGGAGCAGAGGGAAGGGAAGGCGGCCGCGGTCAGGGAGCCTGGTGGACTTGTCCGGTCTGACCGCCTGGGCTGGAAAACTTTTTCTTTTTAATTATTTCTCCTCGCCGGAGCGCTAGGGCTGCTAAGCGCGCGGGGCTGGCTCGGCTACCCTGCGCGGGGCCGCCAATTTTTCCCTGTGCGACGGGCGGAGCTGGATTCCGGGGCTGGGGTACCGGGACGAGGGGAGCGCTCTGAAGCGGGAGGCGAACTTGCCTCCGGAACGGGGATCCCGAAGCGGGCTGGCTGTCAACGGGCTGGAATCCGTTGACCTCTCCCCGAATCCCTATTCAGGTGGGCTCCAAGGCGGGCGCAGAGGTGTCGAGGGAGCGCCTAGGGAGAACCTTGCTGGGTGGTTTGCAGGGCGGAGTTCCCCGAGATCCTGGGGAGCCAGGCGGCCAGGGCAGCTGCCCTCTGGGCGCTGCGCCGCCTGCCTCCGCACTCACTGCTGCCGGCTGAAGGGGTTTATGGCTGTACGCCTCCCCAGCCACGTGGAGCCTCGCGCCTTCTATGTAGGGATCGTGGGGACAGGAGGGCTCGCAGGGGGCCTCATGGGGCCGAAAGTCGATCCTGCCACTACCCCCCCACCCCTCGCCCTTTCGACTTAGTGCTCTCAAGTCTGATGCTGCCTGGGTGTTGGTTGGAGGTGGGCCTGCCTGAGAAGTGCCCGACTGGGCTTTCAAGACCCCCTCCCAGACAGCGGCCTTCCAGGGCTTGGCAAGGCGCCACAACCCTCCCAGGAGCCCTCAAGGCCAGCGCCAAAAACACGGCCTGGTTTCCACTGTGGTCACAGTAAAGAAGCAATTTGTGCTTTAATCAAGTTCCTATTCAACATATTTTCAATGATTAATGACCCAACTGCTTCATTTTTTTTTAGTCCAGACCTCAGACACAAAATATTTTTAGCTTGATATTTTTGGCCAGGGAGTAAAACTAGATACGTTAAATAAATAACCTATGTGACCCGAGGAGCTGCTCTCTTGGCCAGAGGCAGGACCCATTAGCACACCAGCACCTGTGGAGCCTGCAGGGAAACTCGGAGTGGGATTTTCAGCTTTTCCGCACTGCCACGAACGGTGGCAGTCCCGGGGAGGAGCAAGGAAAAGGCTCCTGGAAGATCCTGTTCACAGCGTCTACACCTGGTTTCCTGCCAGGGTCAGAGGCTCCCAGGGCTGGGGAGCTGTGGAATCAGGCTTTGCTAATAGGGTGTGTGGGGGTGAGAGAGGCGCCCAAGGGGCCCACACCCAGGGTCCCAGGTCTTTCCACAGCAGAACCAGAATTCTCCCACAGGCCAGCTCTGTGCAAGGTGCTTGGTGCCCATAGATGAGTGAGAAGTGGCCTCTGCCCTCTTGGGGTTGGGGGGACAGACAGGCCATCACACAGTCTGCGGGGAGAGAAGGGCCCCCTCACAGAGGAGGTGTCACCAAAAGAGCAGGGAATGGGCCTGGGCAGAGGGATGTCATCCATTAATTCATCGAAGGTCTGTTAGGAGACACACATGGGGATGAAGGATTGGTGTACTGTGTGATTGATAATGGGACACCCTGCCCTGGTGAATGCGGGGCTCTGGAGGAGATATCAACAAATTTTGTTTGGGGAGGTGCTATGGGCTAAATTGTGTGCCCCCCAACCCCATACACACATTCATATGTTGAAGTCCTAACCCCCAATGTGTTGTATCCAGAGATAGTATTTTTTAACGAGGTGATTAAGGTTAAACGGGGTCATAAGGGTGGTGTCCTAATCAGATAGGATTGGTGCCCTTGCAAGAAGAGAGGGAGAGCTCCCCCCCACCCCCACCCCCACCCCCACCCCCGCCCTGCCAGCACATGCACTGGCACCCATGTGAGGACACAGGGAGAAGGCGGTGTCTGCAGGTCAGAGAACAGAGCCCTCACTGAAACCCAGCCATCCTGGCACATTGACCTCACACTTCCAGCCTCCAGAACTGTGAGAAAATTAATTTCTGTTATTTAAGCCACCTGATTTGTGGCACTTTGTTATGGCAGCCTGAGCTGACTAAGGAGGCCAGAGAGGGCTTCATGTAGCAGTGGACCTTTGAGCTGCACTTTGAAGGATGAACAGGAATTGGCTAGAAGGATAGGTGGACAGACCGGCAGGTGCAAAGGTGGAGAGGCTATGAGTGCATGGCATGTTCTGGTAACAAAGGACAAGATGTTTGCCCGGCTGGAGTGCAGGGATTGCCAGGGAGGGGCCTAGATAAGGCTGTATCCGAAGATGGAGCTGGGTCTCTGGCCAAGGCCACTCCAGGTGAGGGGAGAACCTACCTCACAGGCTTCTGCCAAGCAGCTTTTAGCAGGCGAGCACTGTGACCCACCCCTGGGGCTACCCCCCACCAGAAGCTCCCTTAGTCAGGTGGGTGTGGATTCCCAGCACACGGCTCCAATGCTGCCCATACTGAAAACTGCCCCCTCCCATCTCCTCTTGGGCCAGGGGTGTGCACACTGCCAAGTGCCTGGTAACATGGCCCATGTAGGCCCAGGCAGCTGCCTCGGGGCTGTTTGAGCAGGAAGTTCCTTGGCCTTATAAGCTCCTCACTTCAAGGGAAGGGAAGGGCCAGAGGAAGGCATGAAGAGGGTCCTCTACCGTGGGGGTCCCTGAGTCTAAGGGTGGTATGAGGGTCTGCTGGGCAGGGACTCCGTGCCCTGGCAGGGCCAGCTCTCATTCAGTGCAAGCAGGAGAACAGTGACACCACTGCGTCCAGCCTTGTCTAGGGGCCCATGGCCCTGCTTCTTTTGGAGGAAGTGTCAGCAATAATTTCAAACCTATACCCCCAATTCATCCCTTCTCTCCATCTCTCCACAGATATCCTAGTTCCAGCCACCATGCTCTCTCGCCTGGACCATTGCAGCAGCCTCTAACCAGTGTCCCTGCAGTCCTCCTTGCCTCCCCCTCCCCCAAGCATCTCCACAAAGCAGCCTGAGTTACCCGTTGAACATGTGCTGGGATCATGTCACTCACCTACTTCAACTTCCTGTGACCTCCCACTGCATGTGGAAGAAGACGGGTGATGTCTCAACCTGGCCACAAGGCCTGCATAATTTGTCCCTCACCTCTTCTTACTCCTCAGACTCTTCTTGGCTCCGAACTATGCTCTTTGGAGAGCCTAGTGTCTCCCAGCCTCAGGGTGCTTCAGTTTGCTGTGCTGGCTCCCTGGAATGTTCTTCCGAAATGTTGGCATGACTCCTTCTTCCTGTCATTTGAGTCTCCCCTTCTTGAAGAGGTTCCTCTCAGGTATGAATTGCACACTAGCCACCCCTCCCCCACTCCTTAGGCCATTGTGTGTTTTATTTTCCTCATAGCACTCTCTGGAAAATGGTCTTGTTTACTTCTTTAACTTGTTCCCTGTTTCCCACACCAGAATGCCAGCTCCACAGACAGGACCTTGTCTGTCCTGTTCCGCCTATTTCCAGAGCTAGAACAGGCCTTGGCATATGGAAGAGCCTCAAATATTTGTTGACTGGACAGGAATGGATTCTATTCAAGAAAACCCTTACCCGGCCATCCTCCCAGAACTCAGCTTCTTCCCAAGCCTAGGAGGGGTGCTCAAGGGTGGCCCCAAAGGATGCTGGGGAACACCCAACCCCCTGGGTATCAGGAGCCTCTGAAGCCGTGCCTGGCAATACTGCCAGGGCCTGGAGGGTCTACACAGTGCCTCCTGGCTAACTGGAAAGAAGCCCCTCAGGCAGATGCAGCCCCTGGGGCTTGGCTGAGCAGAAAGTGCCTTTGTCAGGAGGAAACGGGCCCCTTTCTCTGGAGAGGTGCAGCCCAGCCAGGACACAAGGCTAGGTGAGTGGAGGCCTCCTGATGGGGCTCGTTTGTGTAGCGACAACTTCTCAGCCAGACAAGACAGCTCTGGAACCCCCTCTCCTCCCACTCTGGCTCCAGAGCACCCCTATCTGTAGGGCACTGCTGGGAGGGTGCCCAGGAGAGCAAGACTTAGTCCTTGGACACGAGGCATCAGATCCACCTGGGAGAACAGGCCTGCCTCCTGCAGGCTCACGTGGGAGGCAGTGGCCGCCCCAGCATGTCGACCTCACAGCCCTACTGCTCAAGAGGTGGGGCCGAGCTCCTGGCCCACTTTTGTGCACCAACCATTTGGATCCCATTGCTTCTCTTTGCTGATTCCAAGGATTTATCCCTCAAGATGCATCTTAAAAAACAACAAACAAATAAAATTTAAAGAAGGCAAGAAACTAAACTGCAAATCAAAGCAAGAGTCTTTGGGTGCCGGCGCATGGAGGGCTCAGCTCTAGCCCTCTTCCCTTGTGATTGTGCTGTTCCCCGGTCTCATGCCCGCCACGCCGGGTAAAACATCCCCTGAGTGCAGACACTGGAGCTACAGGAGAAACAAGCTGCCCACAGCGGGCTGCCCATGTCTCCAGACTCCTATCCGTTCCAGCCTGTTCGAGTCCTCCCAAAGGAAGCTGATATCAGGTCCCGCTATGGTCTGTGCTAATAGACTGTCTGCTTATGGAGGTAACAAGCAGAATGGCTAATGTGCCATTCTTGACTTCCAGGATAAAGCCTTAACGGAAAAAAAGGCAACTTGCAGAACAACATGCAGCTCCCACTTTTTGAGAACCGATTTTTAAAATATATCTTATGGGTATATAGAAAAAAGTTAGGAGGAATACACACCGAACTGTGAACAATGGTGCTGCCCTGGTAGGAAGGCAGAAAACTTGCACTTTAAATGTATACACTTACGTATATTGCACTTTTCTTTTTAATCCTCACCCGAGGATATGTTTTTATTGATTTTAAGAGAGAGAGGATGGGAGAGAGAAACATCTATCAGTTGCCTCCTGCATGTGCCCTGACTGGGGATCAAACCCAAAACCTAGGTATGTGCCCTGACCTGCAATTGAACCCATAACCCTTTGGTGTACGGGACAAGGCTCCAACCAACTGAGCACCCGGCTAGGGCGTATATTGGACTTTTTAAACAGACAAGTATGTGTTTATTACTTTTATAGCTTTATAAACTATAAAAATATTTTAAATCACATTAAATTTATAGTTTTATAATTTTTATAGTTTTATAAACTATAAAATGCTTTAAAGTCACCTTAATGTACTCTACAAATATATAATGTGACAATAGATTCCATAGCTTTGTAAATAACTTCAAAATACTTTTTAATGGCCATATTTTTTAAATTAAAAAATCTGGAAACATGGTCTAAGAATGAATAGTTTTCTGATTTGTGAATTTGAATTTGCTCATATGGGAACCATACCTAGTTATAGACACTAAATCACATTCTGTTCTACAGATAACAAGTCATCTTTATTTTAAATGAGAAAAGCTCATTTATTTATATATAAAGAACTATAAATCAACGTGAAAAAGAATCATAATTCAAAAGAAAGTGGGTGTACACAGTTTATTTTAACCAATAGTAAATGCAAATGATTTTAAACATGTTTAAAAGTGCGAAGACTCTGAATAAAAGATATGCAAATTAAAACTAAACTAATATGACAGGTCAAGTTGAAAACCTTTGATAATGTGCCATCCTGATAAATAGGTACAGCAAACAGGTAGGGCATATTGAAGCATCCTCTTTGGAGGGCATTTTAGCAATACCTGTCTAATTTAAAGGTGGATTTGCCTTTCACCAGAAATTCCATTTATAGAAATTTAATCCCAGAAGCTCTCATATGTACATGGAGGGGTCCATACAGGGATATTGACCAGAACATTGTTTATAATCGCAAAAGACTGGAAACAATGGAATGTCTGTCTATTAATAGAAGACTAGTTAAATAACCATGAGATAGTTGGTTAATAATCCTTTGTGTTTCTGTTAAACAGGAGGGGGAAAATCTGTGTGAACACATATGAAAAGAGCTCCGATACACACACACACACACACACACACACACACACACACACACACACACACAGTGCAGAGTACTTTTCCATTTCTGTAACAAGGGGGAGGCTCTACCTACATGCTTATCTCTGCCTAGAACATCTCAGAGGGACACATAAACAGGGAAACTAGAGGACTTGGGTCAGAAAATCTTATTATAGCTCTGGCTGGTTAGCTCAGTTGGATGGAGTGTCATCCTGATACGGCAAGGTTGCAGATTCGATCCCCAGTCAGGGCACATGCAGGAATCAACCAATGGCTGCATGAATGAGTGGAACAACACATCGATGTTTCTTTCTCTCACTCCCTCTCTCTCTAAAATCAATCAATAAATACAATTTTTATAAAATTTTAAATTATACATTAAGATAAATTAAAAGGATTAAACAATAATTAAATAAGGAATTGGGGATTGCTCCAAAAATTCCAAAACATATGATTGCTAAATATACCCTGAAAACACTAGCCTTAGGATGAGAAGGGAGTTTAGTTTTTATATAATTAAACAATTAAATAATCATAAAAACCCAAACAACACTGTTTTTTTCATTGTTATCTCCAATAAAATTTATAAGCCAGCCAGTTCCTGTAAAACTCTTATACAGCAAGAGCCCATTTCCCTCCAATATGGAACTGAGTTTCCTGTCCATATTGATTTAGCAGTTCAGGGACTTCGGGCAGGGCAGGGTTATCCCCTCTCACATCCCTCCAATTGGTTCCGTCTCCACCATTTTCAGTCAAAATTCCAAAGGTCACTTGGAAAGCACGTAACCCACTAAGCTGCCAGGCACTCCCTTTTGGCTAGATAACCCCCCACGGCCCAGGTCCCAGTGCAGAGTCCTGGGAACCAGGGAAGCGCTGTTATAAAACCCTTGTCTACTTGGCCAGCAATTGGAGGTGATGCTGAACAAATTGAGAGTTTCAACAAACATATCTTTAGAATCCAATTTTTATTATAATTGATTAGAAAATCTAGCTTACATTCCACATGCAGTCATCTAATCATCGCCAAGGTGCAATAACAGTTAAACGAAAACCAGCCTGAGTCATGCTCCTATAAAACTGTCTGCTTACAGAGCTTGGCTTTCTCTGAACGGGGGAAACTTGAAGTCAGGCAGCAGAGGAAGGGGTTGTCCTGGCCTCTTGCTGGGAGAGATTATTATGAGAAAAGCAGGTCACACGGGACCTGCCCAGTGGCTCATGGACATGGAATGTGCACATTGATTGAAGTCTCTGGTTGCCCGGCACCATTTGAACGCCCTTCCACCGTCCAGGGATGTCCCCCCAGAACGCTCTCTCACAGCCTCCCTCCCAGCTGGGATGAGGCCTGGGTGAGAGACTTGAGGATCTGACACACGCACTGGTGAGAGCCATCAGGGCATGAGCGAGAGAGGCGAAGGGCAGGCCAGTGTCCGGGGTGCTGTGAGCATTGTAAGCAGCCACATAGCCTCCACGTGGATGCTCTGGCCCTCCTAGGAACTTTGCCGACTTCCTAACGTCCTCGTGAGCTCTTCTTCAACTTAATTCTCTGTAGTTAGCGTGGATTTTGTCGGTTATGCCTACCTGGGATAGGCCTTTGACTTGGATGACTAATGAGAACTAGGCCAAGATAAAAGTCACAGATGACTCCTTCCATCTTCTCTCTGCAGCTACGGCCTTGGTCCTGATTCCTTACCTTCTTTGCAAGCCAGGTCTCTTAGCCAGATTAAGAAAGAAAACAGGCTGTGGAGTGAGCTACCCATCTGAATACCATTCATGCACAGTGGCTTTGATATGTAGCTTCACCTCTCGTGCTCAGTTTTCTCATCTATAAAACGGGTATAATAAGGCCATCTTCCCCACAGAGGAGTTGTGAGGATTAAATAGAATAACCCATTAATAGCACTTGGATAAATGTTGAGGATTAGTTCTCCCAATAAGGAAACAAAGTAAGACTAATGTGGGGAGTTAGAAAATTCCTTATTGTATGGAATAAAAATAAAAACCCCATTAACAACAGGATCAAGGAATCCTAGCTATTTTCTTTCTGGCCATAGACTTCTTTAGAATAAATCCATAAATATCTAATAATAAATCCAACCATAAACTCTAGACAAAAATCTTAAAATCAGCTACCTGGAGATACTGTAGAATGAAAAACAAGCAGGCAGATACTGGTGGGAAGTTGACATTTGGAAGAAAAGGACATCGCAGAGTAAATTTCTTTCTTCTGAAGTAGCATTTAGCCCGAAGGCAGGCCCCAGTCTGTGCATGTAGGACAGCTAAAATTCTGGCAGAAAAATCTGCAATTCTATTGGCTTGATGAACCAGAGGACACAGCTCAGGGCAACCACAGTCACTGGAAAGTGGGGAGGGGAATCCAAGAAAGGAGACAGGAGCCCAAGCAATATCAATGAACTTAATGTAGTTGCAAGCTTTCTACAATTTATGTGAAGTGTTGCAATACAAACTCTTAGCAGTATGAAAAGTTATGGGTGTATATTGTAACCCTGGGGCAATAAAATATAAGGCAAAGAGATAGCTACAAAGCCAATAGAAAAATTAAATTGAATCATAAAACATTCAGTTAATTAAAAGGAAGAAAGAGAAGCAGAAAAAATAACAGAAGGGAAAAACAAGTACAGTGGGGCCTTGACTTGCGAGTTTAATTCGTTCTGAGACCGAGCTCGTTAAGGAGCTCATTAAGGAGCTCATTAACTCAAATTACGAGAGACAGCTGGTAACTCAAAAAACTCCTTAGTCGAGACACTCGTAAGTCAAGGCCCCACTGTAGTAATATTATAGGCTTAAATCTAACTATATAAATAATTATATTAAATGAAAAGGACTCATATTCTAATTGGAGGAAGAGGTTGACAGAATGGACAAAAATGCAAGGCCCAGCCCTGGCCGGTGTGGCTCAGTTGGTTGGAACATCGTCCCGTACACTGAAAGGTTGTGGGTTCGATTCCCAGTCAGGCACATATCTAGGTTTCGGGTTTGATCCCTGGTCAGGGCACCTACAGGAAGGCAACTGACTGATGTTTCTTTCTCATGTGGATGCTCTCTCTCTCTCTTCCCTGCTCTCTAAAATCAATAAGCATGTCCTTGGGTGAGGATTTAAAAAAATGCAAGGCCCAATTATATGCTGTCTCCTCAGTAGATGAGAAAAGGTATATGATGTAAACCTTAAGCATAAGAAGGCTAGAGTGGCGATAAAAAAATCAGTAAAATAGTATTCAAGGCAAAGAGTCTGACTGGAAAAGAGGATGTTTCATAATGATAAAAAGAGACACTACATTATGAAGATATAATAATCATAAATGTGCATGCACCTAATAATATATAAAGAAAAACTGATAGAACAAAACTGGAAGTTGAGAGCATGAGATTTATTTTAATTTTAATTACTTCTTATGGTTTAAATTTTAATCCAATGCCTGTTCTATCGTCATCATCATCATCATCATCATCATCATCATCACATCAACAAAAGAATGGAAATGATGTTTGAGCCAAGTCTTCAAAGACGAATCAAAGTTTCCAGAGAAATGAGAAGGGAAGACATTCCAGACAAAGGTCACACGTGTGCAGAGGCATTGAAGTGCCTGGTGTGTTCAGGACTGTAGACTTTGGGCATGCCTCACCTCCAGGGTTGGGTTGTACTACTGAGGAGGGATAGGGGGTAACAGCAGGTGAGTGGAAGTGAGACTAAAAGAGCCTTGTAAATTTGCTAAGAAGTTTTAACTTTATCATGATGGACATGAATAGTTATTGAAGTGTTTTTCAAAAGAAGAGATAAGGTCATGTTTGGGCTTTAGAGAGGTGATCCTGACTTCAAGTTCGATAAGGTTTAGAGGAGACTAGAGTGACTTCTGGAAGATGCTTCAGTAAGTAGATTAGAAATGCTGGCTGCTGACCTGGACGAGTAGAACAGGGAGAGAGAAGGAAGCATGGTTTTAAAAGGTCCCAGAGGAAGCACTATAGTGAGAATCTGGCAACTCCGAATCCAGATGATGACACAGCTGACATCTATGAACTCTCAAAGTTGAGTTGATGAAACCGCTTGGTGAATGCTACTTTATTATCATTTCCCATAGAACAATAATAGAAGCATAATAATATCTACCATTTAAAAGTTCATTTTATTCAATGCAATCCTTGTAAGAAACTCAGCGGCTACTTTGTAGAAATTGACATACT